TCTGGAAAACCTGGATTTTCAGCGTACAGGTCTTGGGATCATTTTTATAAAAAGTTCTACAATAATTGAAATTTTTATTCAATGCACTTATCGAATAGAGCACATTGCACTCTATCTAAAAACTTATGTCGATAAAAAGAAAAAATTTATTTTTAGAGATTTCCAAAGATTAGTTCAAGTCTTCTTTTATCACTGTATTTGTTTGACTGTGACAAAAAACATTAAGCTAAACATTTAGTAGAATGGCAATCGTGACATAGTCACACCGTATTCCTGCGTCCAGTAGACGGTCCGTAACGGATATCCGTTTTGGTCGACCTGGGATAAGATGATTTAAAACACTGTGCTGTTAAATAAAGCAATAAGCTAAGTTCTTTCTGTTATGTAAGAGCCATTGCATGTAAGTGGTGAACGATTGCTTATCTAATCAAATCATTGATTAGCGAAAGTCGATTGCACAATTTCGGTCGTGATTTATCTGCAATGACTGATAAATGTGTTGACAGATAAAAGCAAAACGAATTTAAGAATACATTTTGATACAACATCAATCATAAAACAGAGATAAAAGAAAAACATAAAAGAATTGATATAACAAGAAATATTAAAATATCATCGGTTTTTCTAGTGACAACCATAACCATTATGTAGTAAATTAAATTTTAGTATTCGTACATTGTTTGCGTCAATAACATATAAATTAAAATCTTTGTCAAATTTAATTTTTGCAGGAACATTAAACTGATTTAGATACATTCCTGCAGTGCCGTTTTCACTTCCAGCTATTGTTCTTCCTTCCGTGGAATTTACTAACCATTGTTGTATACGCTGATTATAAGAATCAGCAATATATATTGTTCCACCATCGGTTTCATCAACATAAACACCGCCAGGATAGTTTAATTGATTTTTCAAAGAACCTTGCCCAGTACCGCCAGCAACTAATATACCTTGTTGTGAATTTTTTATCCATTTAACAATTCTATGATTATATTTATCGGCAATATAAACGGTTAAATTTTGATCAACATAAAAACCCACTGGATTATATAAGTCGGATAATGTTTCACCAGCACCATTATTTCCACCGGCAATTTGTAGTGGATTATCAGTTGTACCATTTCTATATAATAATACACGACTATTACTTATGTCTAATACATATAAGTCATTATTTTGTCGATCATAATAAACTGATTGACAATAACCATATTGATAAGCAGATTTATTTGCTGATACATCAATAATTGTTGTACCATTTAATGGTAACGATGTTTGTATAAGTGAATATTTTTGTATACGATAATTGCTTGAATCGCAAACATATAAATGTTGATTTATTTCATCTAGATAAATTCCATTTGGATTATTTAATTGATTCGGTAAATTACCTCCTAAAATATTATCACCCACGATTAATTGTCCAATATTAGCATTTTGTTTCCATAAAACAATACGATTATTAAAAGTATCGCTAATGTAAACATTATAGAAATTATCAATACTAATATCTGTGGGAAGTTGAAAATATTTTAATGATGTGCCAAAAAGACCAAATGATGACCCGGCTACTCTCACACCTGTCCGATTCCAGTTACGATAATAACAACTACCATTTGTTATTGTTTGATCTTAAAAAACGAAAAGAACTATGCTTCAAAAGTGTTATGCATAAAAGGATAAAGTCATATATATCCACTTTGACGAAAAGATGTAGGTTCAGTGAGGTAAGTTTAGGTATGCACCGGTATCGGTATACCGAATACCGAAAATACCGAACTTCGGTATATACCGAAAATACGGACTTTTTTTTACTTGGAATTTTTTGGATTTTTTCATTTGAAATGAGGTATTTTAGCATCCTGTGCAAGCAGAACGTATAAACAACACTCAACTGTGTATTTTGAGCATGTGCAGATAGAAAAAAAAGAAAAACTTTGGCTTTAGAAAGCAAACAAAGCTCTTGTTTTCTGTCCCTGATTCATTCTGGGTGTCCAGGACGCTAAGACATCTCATTTCAAATGAAAAAATCCCAAAAATTCCAAGTGGAAAAGTCGGTATTTTCGGTATCGGTATTCATACCGATACCGGTGCATAAAATAAAGGTAAATAGGTAAATTAAAAAATAAAGACTAACTCTTCAGATATCCGTTATACGATATACCTCGATATATCCAAAAATATGCCTGACTAAACATTTTGTTACTTGTATCTTGCATTATCTAATTCTGCCCCTTACTATCGCACATATTCATCCACTTACTTTGTCCACTCAGTACTGAATAGCCATGCAACGATCTGATATTTGTTTTTGGAATTCGAACTGGGGACTTCTGTTTGCTACTCTAAGAAAATAATCGCTCAGCTATCGTCGCATGTTTTTATTATCCCGTAACTTTTTAGTATTTTTCATGACAAGTGGACTGTCTGCTTTTTCAATGCGTAAAATTTTCAAAATTATTTCTGGTTGAAGCTGTAAATCGGACGTGTTCGATTTTATTTCAACGAAAGGTATTGTAAAAAATTGGAGGCGAGCATTAGAAACAGCATCACTATACTTTCTATTCTAAAAGGGTGTGCTCCATGCTTTCTCTTAGTTGCTTACAAAATTTCTTTAAATTTGTGCTTTATACCGCATAAGCTCTCTTATTTTTGGTTCTAAGACAACAGTGCACGTGCTTTGTCTTTACTTTTTTTGCGAAATTTTCGTCCTTTTAATCGTTGAATTTCTGCAAATCAATTAATATACGTAAGTACGTCATTTTTTATTTCATTATTTACACACTTGACACGTGCAGTACTATATCATCACTCGTCCTCTGTGTCAAACTCATCATGCTAGTATTTTCACAATTGATTATTAACAGGTATCTGAATTTAATTAAAAAAACTTCTAAAAGTCTCAATAATTTATCCAGTGAGCAATATTTAGCATTGATTAACAAATATCTTCTGCTTTGGATAATCTTGATGATGAGTCATCGAACACAACAGATGTCAGCAGCAACCATGAGGTTTCTCCTCATCAGACAGTCAGATTAATCAATCACAACCTGCATCGCAGTTGGAAGCACAGTTGAATTCTGCTCCTCCTTCAACAGCTCTCTACATAACAGGCAGCAGTATCATTCAAAATTTAGAACAAGGTGTATCAACATTGAATGGTACTGACTTCAATGTTAAAGTAATCCAAATGAATCAGATCGACAAAAATTTTCATCTTTCTGCTCATACAGTCTTCTGTATTGGTTCGATCCATTTGAAAAAAATCGGTTCTGATGAATTTACCAACAGCATTCAGAGATTGATCCATATTTTGAAAGACAAATATTCAAAAATGAAACTCGCCTTTGCAACAATTCCTCCTAAATTTAATTTATTACTCAAACCAAAATTACAACAATTTCAAAATGGTGACATAGAGGAATTCAATAGGAAATTACTTCAGCTTTCGGCAGCAAATGATGCTGATTCAATTCACTGTAATTTTTATAAAAATATGTTGAATAATGGAGGAGAAGATGAGACAAAAACTTTGTCAAATGCAATTGATGAAGATCTAAAAACTTTTATTTAGCGTTATTTTCCCACCAATTGACACTGCGTTTTTTTCTTCTTTCTCTCTAGACAATTCTGCTTCTTTTCTGCCGCATGTTCTTTCTCTATTTTCGAATCCATCTCGTTTTTTGTCAAGCCTTAATACAATTTCGATCGGAAAAAACTGGTCTTCAACAGTTTATGAGGAACAAATTAAATCATACATCTTCTTCTCTTACAGAAACATATGACATGTTCAATACCTTTTTTAACTCTTGTTATTCTTCTTCTTATATCTCTGCTGTCCCAGCATCTTCTCTAATCTCCTTCACTGGCTCTAAACTCACCGAATTAAAAGTTACTCTCTCTTATATCGTTGAAGCCGTCAGTTCTATGAAAAACACCGATAGTGTTGGAATCGACGGGTGATTCTTAAAATTCATTGAACTAACACTACCTGTTACCTCGAAACATCCGCATTTTTCAGTTATCTACATCCTCAGGAATTTTTCCTGATCTTTGGAAAGTTGCAACGATAACACCTGTACACAAAAAAGGAGAGACTACTCTTATTGAAAATTGCAGACCGATTTCTCTTCTGTGTGTTGCCAGTAAGATTCTAGAAAAGATTATCCACAATCAACTACTTCAATTTCTAACTGAAAACGATCTTTTGAACTCTGCTCAATTTGGATTTAGGCCTTCGTCT